CCCCAAGGACAGGACGGTCCAGAGAAGACCAGGAGCCCCAGGCCCAGAATAAGGAAACAGCCTGGTGGAGAGAGAGCTGTGTGTGCGCACATGTGCGCACGTGTGTGCGGGTGTGTGTGTGTGCAGGTGTATGTGTGTGCCGGCAGTAACAGGGAAACCTGTAGCTGGGTGACCAACCCCCACAAACTGGGATCTGGGCTCGAGAGAGGAGCTGACGGGGGACACTCAGGGGGTAAGGGCTGCATTTCCAGCCGGGGACGCAGGAGCGCCTCCCAGGGGCCTTGAAGCCGGGCCTTGAGGGACGGGTAGAATCTGACGGATGGCAGAGCGAGTCCAAGGGCAGGAACCAGGCACAACAGAGCACCAGCAGAGGCTTTGGGCAGCGAAGGACTCTTGGGGGAAGCAGCCACTGTGGCGTGGGGTGGGTGGGGCTGGAGGAGAGATGGGGGAATGAACGGCAGGTTGGCACCACGCCCCCCATCAGATACCAGGTATATTCCCTTTAGCCCCCAAACCATCTGGTGGTCTGGTCCCTGTCCTCTGGGGAAGAGAAATTTCCCAGGAGGGCTCTTAACTGAGGATTGCCGTCTGGGCCTCAGTTTCCCCACCAGTAAAGAGAAGGCCTTCAGTGAGTTCCCGAGGACATAGGATGGGCATGTTGTGGAAACCTGGGCAGGATAGTGGAATGAGACCATGATCATAGATGGCATGAAAGGGGGGGTGCCAACCTCGGGTTTCTGCAGTCACCGAGCACCCGGCCAGTGGGGCTTTGTCCCTCTCGTGCAGAGTCGGTCGGCCAGAGCTCCCTGCAGGCTCTGGCAGTGCCGCCCCAAAACCCCGGGCAGCTGGCCTGCCCACTTCCCTGCCTGCCCCTCGTCCTGCATTAAGCAATCTCCTTATCACAAATGCCGGGCATTTTTGCCTTGTAACTACAGCTCCCACAGCCCCAGAGGATTAGGACATGATTAGGGAGTAGGAGGATTCTGGTGGGTGGAGAGAGATACCTGCAAATGGACTTGGCAGCCAGATAGCCTCCTGCAAGTTTCAGGGTCCCAGAGGGCTTGGGGGCCCGTGAGGATTGTCCACAGGGCCTCTGGGAGCCAAGGCTATCAGCATCTGTCAACCCCATGCCCCCCTTGCCCCACACTCACTGCCTTCACTGGGAGCACTGGGGGAGCCCCTCAATGTGCCCCCTGCTCTGCCCCACCCCCACTCCCCTGCTGGGGGAAAGGTCTGAAGCAGAGTTCTGAGCAGTCTCGAGTCCCATGTCCTGGGAAAATGTCCCAGCCCCCGCCCACCGGCTAAGGTCATCACCTACTGTCTGCCTCTTCTCCCAACCCTCCGGGCTCCCACTCTTGGGTTACCCCCCATGACCCCTACAGACATGGACATTCAGTCTTTCGGCTCTCACTGTTCCTTTCAACTGCAAAGATCTTCCATCCAGCTCTCCACTTGTCAAAACCTGGCCCACCCGGCCAGGCCCAGGTGAGATGCTGCCACCTCTGGGGAGACTCCCCAAGCCCCCTGGGATCATTAAAAGCAAACATTCCTTGAGTCCCTGTGAAGGGCCAGGCCCTGCTCTACACTCTTCACAACTTACTGATGCACTGGATCCCCATTCCAGCCCTGAGAGGTGGAATGTTCCTCATTTTACAGATGAGGAAACTAAGGCCCAGGAGGAAGCAGTGGGTCAGCGCCAAACCCCGGCCCTCTGGTCCCGCGGCAGCTTCTCTGATGTGACCTCTCCTGCTCGTCCCTTCAGTATTTCTTCCCGGTGGGGACGATGTCCGAGTTTCCACAGTTACCCCCAAAACATCGCAAGCTCTGGAGCAGAGCTTCTTAAACTTGAATCTGACGTGAGGGTTTTGTTAAAATGCAGCTCTGATTCAGCAGGTCTGGCTGGGCTGGAGCCCGAGGTTCCGCCTGTCTAGGTGCTCAGGCACTATGGATGCTGCTGGTCTGCGGACCCCATGCTGAGTCACGAGGCTCGGGTCTGAACCAGGGCAGAAGCCTCGGGTAGCCACTGCTTGCTTAACAGAGCCCAGGGCCATTGGGAGCCTCACAGACATAGGTCCTCCTCTGTGGTCCCTCTTCTGCCCCCTGACTTCCCTCTGGCTCAGACACAGAGACCCTGGGGGGCAGTCAGGTGGGCTCTGGACACACCCTTGTTTTAGCAAATCCCCTACAGCCCTCCAAGCCCTGGCCCAGCTCTGACTCCCTGGGAAGTCTTGCAGCTCTGGAAATTGTTCTTACCTAAGCTGTGGCCCTGTGGAACTTACAGAGAGTGGTGCAAATGGTCCTGCCACCACTGGTCCATCACATCCTCCAGCCATGGGACAAGGGGAAGAGATCACTGGGCTGGCAGTGGAGGAGGCCAGCAGCTAGTGAGGACGTGGAGAGACGAGTCAGGGTGTGGGTGTCTCCTTCCCCCAGCTGTGGAGTAAAAAGGGGTGGTCTCCTCTCCTACAGCCAAGTGAAGGAAGCTCCGAGAAAACTGCTTGAGAGCTTGCCCTGTGTGCCCCGCAGTGTGGGATGGCTCACAACTCCTGCCTGGGGACACAGAGATGCCACTGCTCCCAACGGGTGGCTGAGCAGACGGGCAGGCTGAAGTGGGAAAGGTCTGACCTCCAGAATTGGGGAGGTGAAGATGTACCGTTGCTTTGCATGGCTCCAACATGGATCCTGCAGAAGGCAGACTCAGGTCTTCTTGATAGGGAAGCAGGAAGGTGGGCCCACCAGAAGCAGCAGCCGGAGCATGAACCACCTGACTCCGGAGAGATGCCAGTGATGGGAGGCCCCCCCATAAGAGGAAGTCCCCCTCAGAAGCTTCCCATCAGTGAGAACATGTTAAATGTTACCATCAAACTGGTCTTACTGCTCACACTGCCCTCAAAGCAGCAGAATCGACCTGCTTTTTCACCCAGAGACCAAGAAACAAACAGTAGCAAAAAGGAGAGTCCAATGGGAAGTTACAGTGAGAAAGACAGGCTGCTTCCTGCGCACGCCCTGAGGACCAGACCCGAGACGGAGGCGGCTCCACTCTAGGACGTGGTTGGCTCTTAACCTTTTGAGGGGAAAGGGGGACATTATCCCAAGTGCAAGGCCATGAGGAAGGCAAGGATCCTCTCCCCAGAAAATTACACGTATGTGCATGTTACACAGAGATTTTAATGTAATTGGGGGAGGGAGGCTGTGGCCCTCTAAAGCTCACCTACAGACTCCCAGAAAACTATGCACCCCAGATGGAGAACGGCCGTGAGCCAGGATGCAGACCTGGCCCAGCACCCTGAGTTCGTTCTAGCTCTGGGCCTGGGAGAGCCGGTGCCAGGCTTTGCCCATCTTTGGTTCCAGAAAGCTCCAGGCAAAGGGCGTCGAGCTGCAAGTGTACCTGTCTTGGATCCCAGATCAGTGCCTTTATAACTTTTTGGAACTGGTCTTCTCAAGCAATGCTGGGAATATTTTGACTTCTCCGGCTCTGCCAATGCGACCCTGGTCAGGAGGTTAAGTGAGTTTCATTGAAAAGACAGCTTTCCTTCCAGGCTGATAAACAGGCTGCTGCAAGGAAACCACCTTCCTCCGCTGGCCGCTCAGCCAGAGCAGCCTGTCCCTGGCCAAGGAAAACAAATGCATAAACATTTCTGGGACATATAGGAAGCAGTTCTGCTGGACGCCTGCTGAGAGTGGCCACTGGAGTTTACATAGCAAACCCCGCCGGGGCCTCTGCACAGTCCGGACAAAGCACTCCCTGCCCTCACTTCCCTCCGGGCTCCTCCCTGACGGTCCCCAAAGACTGATGGTGGCCACAACTCATGCACAGCCCAAAAGAACACCAGACAGGCTTGCTAGCTGGCAGCACCAGAGGCCAGCTTTGCCCTGCACACCTCGCACTTACAGAGAAGAGGTCTCCTTTCAGCCAGCACTAGTGACACAGCCTCTGAGCTGCTTGTATCCTGAGCCCCAGGGGTCACACGGAGGGTGGGGACTGGCCACCATCCAGTATCTACGGTCTTCTGCGGTCTCTCCCTGGGCTAGAGGATGGAGTGTCCTGGTTCCCTTGTGTAAATACCCACCTCTGCGGGCACTGCTCAGAGTCCCAGCCCAAGCACTCGCCGGGCCCGGCAGGGACGGCATGGGACTGCAGCCCCGAGGGCTCTGCTGTTACGTGGCCCATTGCTTCTCATGCAGACAGCCGTGGGACAGGCCACCGGAGGCGGGGCTCGGCCTCTGGGTCCCTCCCCCAATCATGGTGTTGGGAGCCACTGCAAAGGGTTCCCAACTTCAGTTTTTGGCACCACTCTCTCTCTGGTCCTTCTCACCAGCTTCCCGTTGCATTTCTACACTTCCTCATATTCCTCCTGCAATCCATAGGATGTAAATTAACAGAATGAAGGCGGCTTCAACTGCACAGATCCCCTTCAGGAGTGATTGTTTTTCCCATGCCCACCTACCCCATCCTGACTCCAGAAGGCAAGGGTCTCCACAGGCTGCCCACCCACATTTTCAGCAAGTTTCTGCACATGCCCCACTACAGACACAGGGGAACCACACCTGGTTCCTCTGCTCATCCCCATCTTACTGCCCTCGGTGGCCAAGAGGCCCCTCCTAGAGGGTCCTTTCCCTCATATCCACTTGGCCAGGTCCAGCTGAACCTCCAGGTCCACATGACTATCCCCTCAGGGCCCTGCAGGAATCCAGGCCCATCCTGAGATGGGCTCCTGGGGGACTCGAGCTGCTCCTGGTCAGCACAGCTTATGGAAGCTGGTGCCTGAAAGGTGGGTCTGATCAGTAGAAGTCAGGCTAAACCACAAGTCCAGCCAGGAACACCACAAGACCAAAAAACATCACTTGCCTGCAGAGACCCTGGTTAGGTGACATCTTAGCCCACAGGTCACCAGGGCTCTGGGGCCCTTCCATTGGGACTCTTCCCACCCCAGCCATGAGCCACGCAGATCTGGCACTTCCTTTGCGGCAATAGAACAAATGTGTCTTGGCTCTTGCAGTGGGTTTCACTCCTGTTTTATAGAAAGCGAACTACCAGACAGAACGAGCACCCAGGGTCCCGGGCTGACCATATCACAGGCTTGGCAAGGGGTGGTCCAGCAGGGAGTGAGGGATGCAGGCGAAAGGTAGCCAAGGGCCAGCAGCTGGCCTTCTTCCTGACTTGGCATCACAGCTCCACTGGGAGGGAGCCACACAGCAGCAGCACCACGGGCCCTCATCACAGTCCAGGGCAGGCCCTTCATGGAAAGGACAGGGAGGTTCTGGATGTTTCTGCAGCAGTGCTGGCGCAGGTGGGGGTGACACCCTTCTGAGAGACTGGTCCCTGAGGCCTAGGGCTCAGCTGTCACCCGTGTGATGAGTGGAGACATAGGATTCACCCACATGAAGGCTCACAGGATTGGGTCTGAGCCATTCCAGTTAACGGATGCCCCCTTCCACCTAAGAGCAGAGGGACAGAAAAAGAGTCAGAGCTGCAGGCCTACAGAGGGGCCATCTCATGCCCTCACTCACCCACAGAGGGGCCATCTCATGCCCTCACTCACCCACAGAGGGGCCATCTCATGTGCTCGCACACCTGAAATTCTTGTCTTGAGGTCTTAGAGGAGTCAGTTTCCACCCTCCACCCTCACCCCTCCACACTGGCACACAAACCTACACTCCCAGCCCTTACAAAACACAAATGCACCCAAGAGCCTGGAGAGCAATAGAGGGTCAGGTCACTCATTCATTCCTTCCTGCCATGAATTCATCAAATCTCCTGGGTGTCTGGCCTTGTGCGGACCTCGGCTGATGTGAGATCCACACACATATGAATCCAGCCACTTTCCAGGGGTACCTGGTGATGGCATTTTAAAGGCACATGGGAAGAGCTAGATACGGGAAATCCTGGCGCATTCCAAATGCAGAGGGGGGTCGGTTGCTGGGGTCCAAAAGGTGCAGAGAGAAGTGCAGCAGAGGGTAGGGAACGGGCAGGACCCGGAGGCCTTGTGAGGATTCTGGTCTTTGCCCTAAGAGCCACAGAGGGCTAGTGAAGGTCTGTGGGCCGTCCAATAAAACACAGATATGCATTTAAAACAAATACCATCTGACACCCTAAGAAGCACTGAGCATAATTAAACTGTAGCCCAGGCTTAGATACCATTTAATGGCAGTTCAAGTCCCAAATCAGTTACTATATGTGAGACCATGACATTCCCCAACGTGTGACTCATACGTGGCACTATTTTTCAAAAATGACTCAGAGAAATCACATCTGTGGCAGACGGCACATTCCTGCAGGCCTTGGCATTGGGTGTCTTACACATACACGTATATCCTGAGATGGTACGGACTGGGAAGCAGGTGTTACGCCCCCCACAGCGCTGCTACAGTGCAGAGTCCGAGGCTGGGGTCTAGAAAAGCATTTCACAGCACAGGGTCTGGTGGGGAGGGAGGGAGCAGATGTTTTCAAAACCTGAAGTTTTTCTCCAGGACAAAGTTCAAAATGGTAACTTTCACAGAGGAGGAAGAAAGAGAAGCTTTTCTCACTTTAACTGCACACCTGCATCAGAAAGTCCAGCAGCCAGAGACTGCAGGGCAAGGGAAAGGGAGGGACGGCCTCGCCCAAAATACAACGGATGCCTTTCCCAACAGAAAGCTGGGAGCACTGAGGGTTTCATCACACACCCAGCACTCTTCATCGCCATGAATAACCTTGACGCCCACCGAAGCTCTTTCCTTCCTCAGCTTCTGCTCTTTTCTTCCTTCCTGGCTGTGCCTGGCTGCGGGCACCGCATCCCTGCCCAACTTAGGCGGAGAGGGACGGCCTTCTAGGTACATTCTGCTCTTCCAACTTACCGTTCTCATTCCAGACTGTGTGTTCCCCTGCTGAATACTGTGCCTACTTTACACCATTCCGTTACCCTTTCAAATGGGCAAAAAGGCTTCTTGTCCTTCGGAGGAAAAAATCTTAGCGGTATTTCCGTGCTTCGTGCTGCCACAGGAAGGCTTAGTGCAGGAGATGTCTGCAGAGCCCGCTCTGGAACAATCAGTGCATTCCCGCGGCTCCACCCAGGGCGCTGGGGGCAGGCCGTCCACAGCCGCGGGAATGTGCGGGCGTAACGCTCAGCGTGGTCTGAGCGAGACGGCCCTGCCCCGGGCCGCGCAGGGCGATAAGCACCCAGGAAATCTCCACCTGTCCACATGTGAACGCTGAATCGCTCCTTGTAAAAACACTCGGGGTGACAGGCTGAGATGGGGGATGGTGGACAAGCTGCTCGGCACGAACGTCACGCTGCTTTAGGAAGCAGGTCCTCCCAAACTAGCTCTGTGTTCTCTTCCGGGGCATCGGTAACGCCTGTGATACTAACAAATCTCACCCCAAATGAGGTTATGTGGCTTTTTGGCCACCTAGCCTTTCCTTCCTGCACGACCGGCTGAGTGGTACCATTGCACCGCCTGCACCACTTGCTCCTGGGATCCTTCAGAAGCAGGGCTGGGTGCGCAAACATGTTTGCATACCTCTCTGGAAGAGGCCTTCTCTCAAGAGTGACTGCTGGAAGAACTACCTTAGTAAGACACATTCCACACCTAACCCGTGGACAGAGATGCATCACCTGCACATGCTCATCCACAGGCCCTGCCTCCCCTTCATCATCAGTTCCGTCACATGAATCAGAGGGTCAGCATCACTTGTCCCATTGGATGTGGGAGAATGAAGTGATTCTGTGGAGTCTGGGTGCTTCAGACTTTGTCCTAAGCTGCTGTGTGTCAGCACTAAGGTCAATCCAGAGGGAGCTATTAGGTGTCTAGGGGTCCATCAGCACCCTTACATGGGACTGTACCTGGAGACAACCCAACCTGGCTGGGAGAGGGTGGACTGCTCCTGGGTGCTAGTGCCCACCGCCTGCACTGTTTGTGCCAGAGCCTGATGATGTCCCCAGGTAGCTAACAGAGGTGCAGTCGGTAGGGAAGGCAGATGCTGTGCTGGCTTGCAGGCTGAGCAGGTCTGGAGGTGAGACAGGCTGGGAAGGCACGGTGCTGAGCACAGGTTCCCAGGGACGAGGCTGATCCCTGTGTCCGCTGCATAAAATAGTGCTTCAGAAATCTGTAGCCACACAACCCAGGGCTTAATTGATTCTACCATGCAACTTGAGATGTTCAGTTTTCTTTCTCCTTTCAACATCTTTGCAGTTTTGAAGCATGACATTAAAAAGCTTTTACTGTTCTATGAAGATTTGTGGGTAAGCATCAGCCTCTGTTAGCTACTTACCGAGCTTTTGGACTCTAGGGACACAGAAAGGCAGCAGAAGGGAGGCAGGAAGGAGACAGACGTTCTGTCCACAGCCAGGTTTGCAAAGGGGAACTGACTGCCCACACCATGGTGGGTTCTCACCCCCAATCACGGCAAGAATGAGGGTAAGAGTCATAAACGGACCAGACTTTCTGTATTCCTGTAAGATTCATCCTCAGCCTGTCCCTCAAGGCCCTCCCCATCCCTCCCCATCCCTCCTAGCCTCTGTTCTCCCCACTCAACAGGTGGGAAAATTCGGTGCAGAGCAGAACCAAACCTTCTGGAGGTCACGCGATGTGACCTCATAGAGCAGGACTCGGCTGAGGCCAGACCCCGTTCTGTGTTCTTTCCCGGCATCCTGGAGCTCAGTGTTCTGTGGGCCCAACCAGGTACAAGGATACCTGGGGCAGGTGAGCCTAAGGGCTGCAGGGCAGGGACTCAGAAGACAGCTGGAGCAGTGGGAGCACCCAGTGAACCCTCCTACCACAGGTGACCCTCATGTGGGTGGCGGACAGCAGGGGAGCAGGGCACGGGGCTCCAGCCCTGGGAAGGCAACATTCCCAGCTGAAATTACATTTTCAGTTTCTTGTTGGAGCCTCCAAACAGAAACATCTGTGGCCCAGCCCCAGGCCCCAGTTATGAGTCCTTTCCTTTTTTTTCTGGACTGGAGACAACTGTTTCATTCTCTCCCCTCTAGCTAGGCTGGGAGGTTGAGCGGTCACTGTGTGTCTTGTTGGGAAATGACCATAAATGAGCCTGTTTTGCTGAGATGGTTAGAGAGCAGCGGGAGGAAGGGGGTGGGAGACAGGCCCTAATTTCCTGATACAAGCGAGTGAAGGTAACAGGAGACTCTCTGAGGCCGAGATGTGCGTCACACCAGACAGTAGAGATGGCATAGGACCTGAGGACTGTTCAACTTAAGATGATCTTCTCCAAAGGCAAAACCCCAACTCTGGTCTTGTGCAATGTCTCCATGGCAACAAAGCCAGGTGATGGGAAGTCACACTGCCCACTCAGTGACCTTCCCCTGGGCTGGGACAGCTCGAGCCTGAGCTTCAGGCCCAGTGCTGCGTGTGACTAGAGGTGTGGCCCAGGGCACAGACCTGCACTCTGAGAGCACTGACTGTGAAAGGGCGGGCCATGCCTGGTGGTGAGCAAGGGTCGATTTGTGGATCCAAGGTGCCAGCTGGCCATGTGTGTGATGTGCTCTGTGCTGGTCAGGGCGAGTGTCGGATGTCCTTCTGGGCAACAGAGCTGGGTTTGAGGGTAGACAGTGCATCTCTCCCTGGACTGGAATAGAGTGGATTCTGAACTTGACTTCTATTTGACTGTGAACTCTGAGAGCAAGAACCAAGTCGTATCCAGCTGCTTCTTCCATGGAGTCCAGCCCAGGGTTCTATGGGGCTGAAGTGATAGGAGGGGAACCCACCTGCCCACAGGTTCATCCTACAGTGAGCACAGCACCCAGACTCACCTCAGCAGGTGCTTGGGATCTGACTGGCCTTAGAAATGACCTGAGCTTGGGCCAGGGCACCACAGACTCCCTTCCCATCAAGGCAGGGACTTACTGGAGTGGGACTTATCCCTCAAAAGGCAGGCCCATGTCCAGCGGGTCCTCACTGACCATAAAGGCCACTTCCCCAAGTTTCTCCCTTTGAGCTGTTTGAGAATCTGGGATGAAAGCAAAATGCAAAACCTTTGTAATCCAACCCCTCAGAGCAGGATTCCGGGAGGCTGGGCCAGCTGTTTCCCATTACAAAGGAACGTTATCTGATGGGGACAGAGGGGGGAAACCCAGTGGTCCCACTCCACCCACTCCAGTTTTCCCGGAATAACGCTGGGAAAAGTCTCCCCATGTTAACTGCCAAGGTAGACCCCCAAGGCAGGGCAAGTGATGGGGAAGTGCGGCTGGCAGACGGGGTTCCAGGAAAGTCTTAGCAAAGCAGGGAGCACACCTGGAGGGCAGGGGGATGGGCAACCAGTGGGGCCAAAAAGACAGTCCTCCAGGCCCTGTGCGGTGCAATGAGCCAGATGTGCCAGATGCAGGAGGGTCGGCACTTCCAGTGAGACATCCAGTCTCACAAGGCAGCCAGGAAGGGGGGCACTATCTTTTCAGGCACCGGAAGTGTGGTCCTTGGGGTGTGGGCCAGGGATAGCAGCACCAGAAGCACCTGGGAACTACTCAGAAATGCACATTCTTGGGCCCCACAGTAGACCTCTCAACAGAAGCCCTGGGGTGAATGAGAACCAGTGGTCTCTGTTTACCACGCCTCCTCCAGGAGATGCTGCTAAAGCCTAAGATGACATGCTAGAGCACATCTTCCCAATGGGTGAGCCAAAGCCAATACAGGAGTACTGGGACATCAATCCCTCAGCCACCGGGAGCTGAGTGGGGTCTGCACCAGCCAGAGTCCGCAGGCCAGTTGTCCCTAACCCTGGGTGCTGCACAAATATGATTTCCTATCTGTGACAAGGACAGGAGGAGATGCCAGGGCTCAGCCTTGCCCAAGCCCATCCCGCAACAGGGAGCAGGGACAGGTGAGGGCACAGTGGACCACCTGCCCCAGGCCGAGGACATGCTCCTTAAGGCATGCCGCCTCCCACATCATTCCACATGCCATCATTTCACTGTTTCACTTCATGGCACATGGCCATGAGTGGACAGGGGGAGGTCCTGGGAGAAGGGGACAGCTGCCAGAAGAGGAGGAGGTGCTCCAGGCCCATGTTCACATTCAGATGTCTCTGGACTGAGACCCCTGACAGAGCAGAGCCCCATGTCATTTTCAAGCACTTGCCAATTAGGGCTGAGCCCAGGAAGTCCAACCCCAGGTCCATGGGAGGTGCTCGGAGAGTCCAGCAGCAGAAGCTCTCTTGGGAAGGAGGAGGACCTCCAGGTGGGGCAGGGGAGAAGCTCAGGGTGGTGGGCTGCCCCTGTGAGGGGTGCAGGGTCAAATGCACTCTCAGCTAGGACCCCCGGGTCCAGGGGTGGGCGGAGTCCGTGCCCAGGGTATGGTCCAGAGCCCGGCTTGGCAAGCCTGCCTGCAGGAAGGATGGCCTGTGGCCTCCCACCCTGCCCTGCAGAGGCGCCAAGGCCAGCGTCACCTCCTTTCCCCGCTGCTCGCCCTTCTCTCATCACTCTAATGAGTGGCCCTTTGTACATGAAAGGAAAGCGACCTCCACGTGCCTTTAATCCTCCCAATGACAGAAACGCCAGCACATGACCCCACAGGAATGCTTTGGCCTTGGCCCAGTGGGCGGGCAGGTGGGCAGGTGAGCAGACAGACAGATGGATGAGGCGTAATGGGGATGTCTCAGCATCTCCCACGCCCTCGCCCTGTATATGTGGTGTTTTCTTTCTCTATGTGGCTCCATTCAAGGGCCTGTTTGCCTGCGAGGGGACAGCGCCCCTGGGCTCCCGGCAAACCCTCTGGATCTCAGAGCCACAGGGACTCAATCATCACCTTGTCTCTCCGCCCCAACCCTGATCACTTCACAAACAGGGAAATGGCAGTTCCACCTGCGGTCACACCAACTCACAAGTGGCTGAGACAACAGTAACGAGAGCTGCTTACAGAGCTCTTGGTAACATCCTGGGCACCCTGGGAACCCTGTGAGCCAGGCACTGCCATGATCAGGTCTGTTGGTGGGTCTTCCTTCCTGCAGGCCCAACTACCACACTCCTGCCACTCGGGTGAGGCTCTACAGCCAGAGGTGACCCAACTCACTTGGTCCTGATGCAGAGCTCGAGGGGCGGGATGAGGTCTCCATCTCCATGCTCAGGAACAGTTTGGGTGGTGTCTGGGGAGGCGAGAGGGAAGCACACGCTCAGCCCAGGGCCCAAGCTCACCCTGAGCTCGGCACTAACAACTGAACTCCCGAGTCCCAACTTTCCTGGCAGCTGCCCCTCCTCCCTCCCTACTGGACGAACCTAGTTCCTGCCCCTCATTTTTCACCTGGACACCACAGCCCTCTCCTCACTGGCCCCCACCTCCAGTCTCCACCCCAAACTCCTGCCCCCACTTCAGCTACCAGAATAATTCTCTTTAAAAACACATCTGATTCCACCACTTCCCTGCTCCAAAACCTCCCAGGGCTCCCTATTGTCCAGAGAATAAAACCCAAACTTGTTGGCATGGTATCCCCGGCTCTTCAGTACATGCTCTCGGCCTCGTCTTATACCCTTAATGCCATCAGTTTCTCAGGCCCAACTCTGGCTCCCTCCTGCAGGACCCCTGACACTTGCCCTCTGATCCCCCAGTCCTGACACTCAAGAGAGTCTGCACCGTTCTCTGACCACCCTGCACAGCTATGCTAAGGCCCGTTTCCAGCCTGGCCTGGATCCCCAAGGATGCGCAGGGACAGGGTGGGAGGCGGCGCACCGACAGTCAGCCGAATGGGCTCCTGCTGGTTGGCCAGGCCGTCGTAGTAGTAGAGGTCGAAGAGCCTCTCGGTCCTCCAGTCGCGCAGGAGCTCGGGCTGCAGGCTGAACAGCACGCTGAAGTGGCTCTCGCTGCACACCACCCAGATGGGGACCCGCGGGGTCTTCAGGAAGCAGCCGACCTGGCGAGGGGAAGAGGGCGGGGATGCACATGCATCACTCCTCATGGTAACACGCCTGCCAGCTGCTTGCACACTGGGCTGTGCCCTTAGCACCAAGAGCAGGGAGTACAGTCAATATAAGCAAATGTTTGATGAGCAAAGGCCCTCATGAGAGAGGTGAATCAGGAACTAGGTAGGACTTTCCCTTGAAGACAGGTGGGGAGAAGGGAAAGGGGGCCTCTGGGTGAGCAGGGGGAGGGGAGGCTGGGGGCTGGGAGCTGGGACTCCGTCCTGGTGAGGGGCTCCCTTGGAGAGTCCCAGCAGAGGAGGCCATGGTAGAGGGGTGGGTGTTCGGGGAGCAGATCCATGGCACATGCACTGGTCCCTCAGCCCTGCTGCTCTCCTGCCTGCCAGGGGGAGTCAGATGCCTGGTTGGCTTTACCCCTCAGCCGGGCTACCCTCTCTGCTTTCTCTCCGTCACCTGTGACTCCCATGGGTGCCCCTCTCCCTACACGGGCCCTGGTTTATTCAGCTCTGTACGTGCTATGAGCTGGGAGGGCTGATTATGGCCTAAATCCCCACCAGCCCCGGGAGATGTTTGCTTGCTCAGGTATTTACAGAGCAGCCTGTGGATTAAGGAAAGAATGGGAATTATTTTTCCAGTGGGGAGAAGGGCATACTTTCTACGGACCCGTCACAGAATAGTGGCTGGCAGTCTCCCTCGGGCCGCTTGGAGCCCACCCGGGATGGACTCTGGGCTGGCGTGCCTCGAACAGGGCTGTGCTCAGAAGGCCCTCAACCAGGTCCCTGGTGAAGAACTCACTCGTGAACAGCCATCTCCTCCAGAGGGTGGGAGGGCGACCTTTACAATGTGTTCATTTGCTCTCTGTCCAAGGCCCTGCCCCCACCTGGCCGGGGGCCCCTCACTCCAGTCCCGTGCGACATTACGTGACCACAGAGCCCGCTCCTCGGTGGGATGCAGGGGAATTAGATGTCTTAAAGGACGTGGCTGGACGTGCCCAAACCCCACTGCAAACTTGGCTTCCGTTCCAGGCTCAAGAAGCTTTTCTGGTGAGGGCGTCACCTCGAACCGGGAGCCTGTAGGCCGGGGGACCCAGGGCTCACTCAGGGCAGGAACAGGAGCTACACAGCCTCCAGGGAGCCTCATCTGCATGATCAGCCACCCTGAATTTTCCAGCCGAGGGACAAAAGGGCAGCTTGCCATTTATACAGTGGTCAGAGGATTAAGGACAAAAAAAGCTGCCCAGAGAGTTTATAAATGAGTTTTCTCATTCAGGAGCCTCTTCCAAGTGGGTGACATTTTCCAAAGATGAAATTCACTTCCTTGGGATTCTGGGGCAGCTGACCAAAGGCCTGGGGCAAGGAGGGGATGGTGGGGGCGCGTTTCCTCCAGCACGGGCTGAGGCTTTCTCCTGGCGGGGGACTGTGCAGCACAACCAAGGACTCCTTTTCAATGAGGGTTCTTCCATCTTTGAAGGGGGGGTGGAGGGTATGAACGTGCCAAGCCCATCTGTGGACTGCGGCTTAGAAGCCCTGATGTAAAAGGACCAATGTTTGCTTGCTGGAGGGTTACAGTCTGTCATCTCCGAGGGTGACACCCATGAGGAGCTGGCTGTCCAACGGCAGCCCACACTGTAGCCCCACCCTCACGGCCAAGCTCTAGGATGATCGAGTCAGATGAGCAAGACCAGACCAGTGGGGTCACAGAGAGCTGAGGAAGGCCCCCAGCCCCAAGGCAGAGGAGCAAGCATCACCTTGATGTAGGGGTAGAATCCCAGTCTTCAGCCAAGCACACAGCAGCAGACAGGGGTCTACGTGGGTTCAAGGATTCAGATCTTTGAAGGGCCTGAGTTTCTATTCTTTTCCCCCCCCTTTTTATTGAATTTATTGGACTGAAATTGGTTAATAAAATCATACAGGTTTCAGGTATACGATTTATAACACATCACCTATCTACATACTGTACTGTGTGTTCACCACCCCAAGTCAAGTCCCCTGCCATCACCACTTATCCCTCCTGTACCCTCTTCCACCGCCCCCACCCCACTATTTCTCTGGCAACCACCATACTGCTGTCTGTGTCTACAAGGGTTTTTTTGTGTTTTCTTTTTGCTTAATCCCTTCACCGTTTTTACCCAGCCCCACGGCCCTCTCCCCTCTGATAGCTGTCAGTCCACGTTCTATCTGTGTCTGTTTCTATTGTGTTGGCTTATTTTGTTCACTAGGTTCTACATGAGTGCAATCATATGGTCCTTGTCTTTCTCTGCCTGGCTTATTTCACTCAGCATAATGCTCTCCAGGTCCATTCATGCTGCTGCAAAATATAAGATTTCCTTTTTTTTTTACAGCCACATAGTAGCCCATGGTGTAAATGTCCCACAGCTTCTTCATCCACTCATCTACTACTGATGGGCACTGGGGCTGCTTCCAGATCTTGGCTACTGTAAATAACTCTGCAATGAACATAGGGGTGCATATATTCTTTCAAATCAGTGTTTTAGGTTTCTTCAGATATACTTCCAGAAGTGGCATCGCTGGGTAATAAGGCAGTTCCAAGGGCCTGAATTTCTTCTATCAGCATTTTATTCCAAGGGAAGGATGACCCCCAACTGATGTTCTCATCAATTACCCTCAGCAGACCAAAGGAACATAGTTTACTTTTTGACCAACGCCCTCAACGCAAGAATGAAACCAGGGCACACGGTAAGCCTGGGGATTCCATGAGTGCGGCCAAGGTTACCCTCTCGGCCGTGGAATTTCAACCTGCATGCTTTCAGAGCCCACCCAGGGTGTGATGTTCTGGTGTTTCTCACAGGCCATGTGGCCACATTCCTGGGCTCCTTCCAAACACCAGCACATCCAGGAAATAACCATTATCACTTTTCTACACAAGTCTTTGGAACCCACAAGTCTGCTTCCTGTCCATGGATGGGGTGGGGGTCATCCAGAGAGACCTGGGGACGGGGCCACACCACGTGGCCCATGAGCACTGGGACAGTGCACCTGCACATGCGATCATGCAGGAGGGGTGTGATGAAACCAAGCCCTACCGTAGAACGCTGGTCTCCATCCACTCTGCAAATCCAATTGCCTAGCACTGTCTGAGTGTCCCCTTGGGTGACTGTGTTCCTGGTTCTGGGGGTGCACAGTGAACGAGGCCTCGTCTTGACCCTCCAAGAACCTGTGCAGGGCAACCACCACAGAAAGAGCTCCTGCTGCCCTCCTCAGGACAACTCTTACCACGTAATCAACCAGAGAGCAATGTCTTCTCTGAAAACATGAAAACCGAGGCTCAGGGGAGGGCCCACAGCAGGCTGGGCCAAGAACACAGGGCCCAGGCCTCCCCTGCCCATGCTGCCCGAGATATGGTCACACTACCCCGTCCAGCTTCCCTTGGGGATCTGGCCCTTTCCGAGACCCTGGCTGCAGTGAGAGAGGAGGTAGAGACTGATACACTAGCAAACAGACTGAGTGAGGCCTGATGAGGGTAGAATTACGTCTCCCAGAAAGATATGTTGAAGTCCTAGCCCACAGTACGCCAGAATGTGACCTATTTGGAAAATAGAGTTGTTGCAGATGTAACAGTTAAGTGAGGTTAGTGGACTAGGGTGGGCCCTTAATCCAACGCGAGTGACATCCTTACAAGGAAAGGAAAAGACGCACAGGAAGGAGATGGCAAGGTAATGGCAGAGGCAGAGACTGGCGGGGCAGGGAGGGCAGCAATAAGCTGAGAACACCAAGGATGGCTGGAAAACACCAAAACCTAGGACAGACAGGAAGGATTCTCCCTGTAGGTTCCAGGGGAAGCATGGCCTTGGCAACACCTGGACTCCGGGCTTCAGCTAGGAGAGAGCCTGTGATCCAGGACAGTGAGACAATGCGTTTCTATTGTTTTAAGCTGCCAGTTCATAGTGCTTGGTTGCAGCAGCCCAAGGACACTAATACAGGGCCTATAACCTCAGGTCCCAGTCCCTGGAGAAGACACCCCCACCATACACACACACAACAGTAGCAGCCACTCTGACCCACAATCACACAATAAACCCCTAGAAGACCCTTTCCAACAACCTCTCCCGGAACTTGGTGTCGTCTGGCTCTGGGTGTGAATTTAGTGCCCAGTACCCAAAGGCAGTGAAGCCGCACTTCCTCCCAAAACCCCCGTGAGGGAAACTGAACCCGAGTTTCCACAGCTCCCCTTCCCCAGCCTCCTCGCTGGTCACAGGGAGCCAGGCTCCGACTCTCCGAGACCTGTCCTGCTGGTACCTGGCACACGTTGTAGTGCTCAAAGAGAGACAGGAAGCCAATGTCGCTGCGAGCGGCAATGCCTTTGAGGAGCGTGATGTTCCCGTTCCCTGAGTCCAGCTCCAGCACGTCGTTGAAAACATTGGACACGGCTCTCCCGGTCAGGAGCAGATTGACAAGTTCCTGTTGATGAGAGAAAGGGAAAGGCTGATCAAGGGGACACCAGGAACAAGGCAAGAGGGTGGAGAAGGAAGGAAAGCAAGCGAGGAGGGAGGCCGAAACCAGAGGGGCTTAGACTCGTGTCCCACGGGCCCTCAGGGGGAGCTGCCGGCTCTCTCACGGAAGTCACTCAGGGCACTTGTCAGTCTATTCCGAGAGCATTTATCAAGTACCAACGGTGCACAAGGCCCTTGGGGGGTGTCCTGCGGGAGGGGAGAATGGCTCCTGACCTTGGGCCTGGGGTCCACAGTGGGGTTCCAGGTGTGTGCCTGCATGTTACAGAATGTGACTGGGGCTAGGAAACTGTACTCAGAGCGTTTGGGGGCCCAGGCTGACACAGGACCACATGACTAGTCAGAGCAACTCGGGGAGAAGTGACATTTGGGTGGGTCTTGAAGAAGGGTAATTTTTTAAATATCCCTTTTTATTTTGAAATAATTTTAGACTCAAAAGCATTTGTAAGAATAGTACAGAGAATTCCTGTGTACCCTTCACCCAACTTCCCTCAGTGATAACATCTTACATAACCGAGCACATTTACATAACCAGAGCACATGAGCAAGGCCAGGAAACTGACAATGGTGCCGGACCAGTAACTCGATCCCAGGCCTCACTCGGGTCTCACCAGGGACGGCGGGGTCTGCAAGAGGGAAGGGAGAGCAGAGGGCAGCAGTAGCAGGGATGTGGGTCCTAGCTCTGTCTGTAGCTTCATCGGCTGCATGGGATCCGGATTCAGTAGCCGCATGACTTGTGCCCCACACCCAACAGGTCCACAAGTCTGCTGACCCCAGAACCAGGAGATGGCGCATCAGGGTGACGGGAAGGGCCCTTCCTTATGCAGAGCATCTGGGGATCCAACCTCCTATTAGGAATGGGGAAACTGAGGCTCACAGATGGGAAAGGATTTGCCCAAGCCACACGGCTGGTTAACAACAGAGCTGGACTTTCACCCATGTGTCCTGGCTCCCTGTCTGGTGGTCCCTTCCCTCTCCACTTACTTGCCACCTTCAAGGTACCACCTGGCAAACCAAAGATTCGAGCTGAAAGAAACTGCTAAGTGCTTGCTGACCACTGAGCAAAGAGTCACGAGAGCCTGGACTCAGTGCTGGGCGGGCAGGACCCTCGGGCTAGCCCACCTCTTGCCAGGGCTGGCGCAGGGCGCGTGGGAATGGCCATTGCAGCCCTTCCTCTGGAGGGCAGAGTTCACAGAGTGCTTTCCTCCAAATCGTGAGAGCGGTGCCCCCTAACAAATCCCTCTGTCAGCACTGAGACCCCTGCTCCACTGACAGTAAAAAAGACCTCTGATGGCCATAGAGGGAGGTCTCGGGGCTTTGCCGTGTCCTTGCAGAGGAAACGAGAAGGAATTTGGAGGAAATGGCAGCTCTGAGATACTGCACTTCAAGGGCAGTGGCTACAAGAAAGATGGCCTTTCCAGACAGGTTTGACCTTTCCAATCCCTTGAAAAAAAGGCTCCTGCCCCCCATCTGGGGTATCTCAAACCTTCCCCAGAGCAGAAAGCCTTCTTGAAATGGGGGTGAAGGAGCCACAGGCTGCTCCCCGCCCTAGACTCACAATCGCACAGTGGCAAAGCTCAGTAGTCAGCAGCCCCTCGTTACTCAAAGGGTGGTCTGAGGACCAATGGCATCACCCTCCCTGCGTAGCCTGCTAGAAATCAGAATCCCTGGCCCCAGCCCAGACCCTGAAGCTGAGCCTGCTTGTCAACAAGACCTTGGGGGTTCATATGCACATTCAAGTTCAATGAGCTCTGGTCTGGACCAAGCATCTCACTCCACCAATGAGGAGACTGAGTCTCAGGGAGGCAAAGATAATCACCCCAGCTCATTCCACAAGAGACACAGCCAATGCAGCTCAGAACCTGGCACCCCAGCCTCTCCTGCACCCCTGACCTGTGTACAGTAGCTGTGCGCTCCAATCAGGTGGCTGGTAGGGACGTCGAAGTCCTGGCGGATGCTGGAAAATATGGGAAAAGTAGTGTTAGCATGTCTCTGCCTGACTCAGGCCGTTGGGCAAACCTCGCTGGGTGGCCAGGGACTCCCTTGGGCTCCAGGCTAAGGTCCAGAATGCCAGCTGGGGCTCTCTGCTCTGTGTCCTCCCTTGGGGCTGGAGGCTGGGTCTTCCTGAGCCACCCATAGTCTCTCTAAGCAACAGCCTCCACTCTGGCCTCACCGGGCCCTCTGAGGACGCAGCAGAAAGGCCCCTGGGTTTGGAATGCAACACCCTGCATTCACTTCCCAACTGTCACTAATGGTGGGGACTGGAACATCGTCTGCCATCTCGGGGCCTAGTCTGTGAGTCTGTTAAATGGGAGGAATGGTCTAAAGTAGTAGCGGCCACCACCTGGGCCCTGTACACACATTGCTCCTAAACCCTGAGAGAGAACCAAGGCTCAGAGAAGGGCTGACTTCTGGAACAAAGTGAGAAGTCCCTTTGCCAAAAGAAATCCCTCAAGCCAAAAGGAATGGGCTTCTGGGACTTACTCCTTTTATCTACCTGAAATCACTCCCTGGGGAGATGGAGCACTATTGTTGAATACAGCCAGGGACAGGTAAACAGAAAAGGAGCCATCGTCTGTCTTTTTTTTTAATCCTCACTGGAGGATACTTTTTCCACTGATTTTCAGAGAGAGTAGGGGAGGGAGGGAGAGAGAGAGATACATAGATTGGTTGCCTCCTGCACATGCCCTGACCAGGGACAGGCATTGAGCCTACAACCGAGATATGTGTCGTTGGCCAGAATCAAACCCAGGACCCTTTAGTCCGAAGGTCAACACTCTAACCACTAAGCCAAACTGGCTAGAGAGGAGCCACCATCTCTTGACCACACTCAGAGGACAATAGTGCCAGCCCTCCAGCCCCCCAGGGAAATAAACATTACTATACTTTATAGACATGGGGAAAAACTCAGAGACGTAACACCAGGGAGGCAATGTGAGGCTGTGACCTGGATGCACACGGCCCTGGCACATGCCGCCCACCCAGCCCGGTGCCCCGGCCAGCATGCCTCCTTCACCCCCAGCTGACAGAGAGGGTGGAGAGGAGGCCTGGAGGCAGGAGGGCTCAGCAATCATGTTTGTTTTTCCTTTTAGTGGAAGAGAAGAGAAACCTGGTCTCAATTTTATGCTTTAAATCTAAGATCAGTCCAAAGCCCTAACACACACACCCTGGACCCTGCGTCCTTCCCGACTGAGGTTAGAAACTCGAGCTCCGTGACCTCTGCAGGAGAAACGCTGTCCTGTGGTTTCTAATAATCATGGCCAAACAGGGCCAGTCGTAGTCCATATGAGAAGACAGGCTGGGGTTGGAACTATGAGTCCCAGCTGAGAACCACAGAGGCCTGGGGCCTCAGGAAGGGCCCAGAAGGCCTGGGAAGGAGCCCACTGTGGGGGACAAATGGCCGAGGGTTGCGCTCGGCTGGCACGAGCTCAGGCTGGAGAACTGATGGAAACGTCCTCCGTGGTGTATACGGGCATCTTCTGGAGAGAAGAAAATAACCTCAGAGCGGCGCAGGGTAGGCTGATAAGCATCGCTGGCCCCGAGCCACCAGGAGCTCGCAGAAGCAGTCTGATCTCTGTAATCTCCCAGCCTCGTGTTCACCCAGCGGGACTGAGAGCCTGCGTCAGCTGAGAGCAGAGGGACAGGCAGAAAGGACAATGGGAGGAAATGGTAATTGCATCCTTAGGTGCAAACACGATGGGAAATTCAGAAGTGGGCTTGGATCTTAAAAGGGAGGAACATCTGTATTTCACGTTAGGGCGTTCGGAGGACGCCAAGGAGCAGCTTATGGCTTAAGAGATTTACAACTTTGGCAAATCTAGATGCCCAGACCTCCCTCCAGGGGAATTCCCTGGAGGACTGAGTGTAGAGGAATCCTTGAGCGAAGGAACAATGGCCTCCGGTCGGCCAGCAGAGAGAGGAGGTGGTTCACATGGCAGGGCTGCACGGGGCCTGAGCTCTAGCCCCAGTTAGCTGTGTGGCCAAAAACCTCCCCTCTCTAGGGCTCAGGCTCCCCTTTTGAGGGGCTCACACAAGACAAGTGGTGTTATGGGCTGGATCGTGCCCCCCAGAATTCATAAGTTGAAACCCTAGCCCCCAGGACCTCAGAATGTGACTGTATTTGGAGTCTGAAGCTTTAAGGGGTGATTAAGTTAAGTAGGCTCGTTAGGATAGGCTCTAACCCAATCTGACCGGTGTCCTTTTAGGAAGAGGGCATTTGGACACACAGAGGGACACCAGGGCTGTGTGCACAGAGGAAAGACCATGTGAGATCAGAGAGAAGGCGGCTGTCCTCAGAGGAAACCAACTCTGCCCACACCTTGATCTTGGATTTCCAGCATCCAGAGCTGTGAGAATAAACTTCACTGGTTCAGGCCGCCCAGTCTGTGGGACTTTGTTATGGCCACCTGTGGAGCTAACACGAGGGCCTCCAACATCTCTTTAGACTCAGAGCCTTTCTTCAATGGACATCTACATGCAGAAGCCCCAAGTAGAAAACTCGAGGCAGAGCTGCTCTGGCCGAGGCTGTGCAGACTACTCCCCCCTTCCTCCTTGCTAGCAGCCCCTGCCGCCCCTCTGCTGAAACCCTAGTCTCTAAGGTCCTGGGAGCAGGAGCAGGTCCTAGAGGGATTGCCTGAGCTCAGAGGTTCCTACACTTTCTGGGCTTCTGAGCAACAAGCTGTGACAAGCCCTTCCCTGGGAATGATGACTATTCCACTCTATGAGAAGGCTGTCCATCTGGGGGCTGGACAACGCTGGGCCCCAGGAGAATTCTGCACAGCCCAAGGACCCCAACACCAGGCTGGTGACAGGAGCCAGGAGGAGCCAGGAGGGGCCACGACCAGGAGCTGGCCGGGTCTGGGATTCCAGGAAGCAGAGTGAGGGGAGCCTGCATGGACTTGCCCAGGGTACGGACACTGACGAGGAGGAGCTTGGCCCTGGCCACCTGCTGTAACTTTCCGCAGCATTCTGGGAACAAAGTGCCAGCACCAGGCCCCATGGTCTGGTTGACGGCACAGCCACAGGGTGTCCAGCTCACTCCTTGACAAAGGAGGGGAACAGAGAGCTGTGCCCAGGATGCCAGCAGGGACTGCCTCTCCCACAGGAGGGCCCCACAGACACCGCTGACCAAGGAGCAGAACTAAGAGGGTGTCAGGGGTGGCGGAACCCTCCAGGGCTCAGCATTCAGACGGACAAGGGTGCCCAGGGAAAGAACAAAACCAGCCCCATGACAGAGACCAGCCCAGATCCAGCACCGGGAGCCAGGCCCAGTGCTCCCCTGCCTCTCTCAACTCCACCCCCATCACATGTTTTGGGGGCAGAGGCTCTGCCACTGAGCAGCTCAGGACACCCAAGCCTTGAATCTGCACAATCTCACCCCCTTTCACATACACTATCGAACTACCATCTGTGTTACTGATGGTAAACTGAGGCCCAGAAAGCGGAAGGGACTTGTGGTCACACAGAGTCAGTGGGCCAGCACTGTGTCCTCAGTATCAACATCACAGTGTCTGCTGTGGCCTGAAACCTGTGATGGTCAGGCAGCTGGGAGCCCTGAAACTCCACTCCTGATGGGGTGCAGTTTGTCCCCTAACCCTAAAGCCGACTCACATGTGTCTGAACAAGTGAATGAATGAATAAATGAATGAATTAACCTGAGCAATTCCTTTGAACAATGAATCTGTCCAAGTGGCCTAGAGACATGGTTCCAGCCTATGGTGGACTTGCCATTCAACCTAAAATCAAGTCCACAAGGCGTTGGACTGGCTGAGTGGCCTCAGGCAAGTCCCTGCCTCTCTGTCAGCTGTGTCCTCATTTATAAAGCCAGAGGGCTGGAGCAAGGGGTCTTTGGGGACCTTCTGGGATGTGAGTGAGTATGCCTGGCCCATGACTGATATTTAAAATATCTTGCTTAAAATAGGCAGTAATTAACCTGGGAGGACCCAACCAGCTACCTCCCCTCCACCTGAGCTCTAGGGCCCCAGGCCCCAGGGGCACTGCCACACCCCTCAGGGCCAGCTCCTGCCTGTCCTCCCAACAGATCCTCCCCCAGAGACTGCACTATCCACTGTACTCCCCAGCCCCTGCAACAACCTCCAGACACAGCCCCCTGCGTGTAGTGGGACTTCTGTTGACTTTTGAGGACAACATCACTAGTGCAGAGGGCAGCTGTGGAACCACTAAGAGAACCTGGGCTTGGAAGTCAGGGAGCCCTGGATTCAAATCCAGCTGCTTACCAGCTGCTCCCCTCTCTGAGCCTCAGTTTCCCTACTTGCGACACGGGTATGATGACGTCTCCTTCTATTACAGGTTGCTGTGAGAACTGAGTGAGATAAACTGTACAAAGCACTTGGCATTTGGTAAATATCGCTTCCTTTTTCCTACAATAACAGCAATGATAACAACAAACCCAAAACAATGAGAGGTCATGATTCCTGCAACCTCAGCCTTTCATACCACGGCCAAGAACCCAGAATAAACAGAGGACTTCGAGCGGTCAAAATGCAGCCACGAGCCTCTGAGAAGGGATTTCGGTTGGGCGGATACTGTGTTTTCCCAGGAAGGCTGAGAGGAAGTGGGCGGAGTCAGAACACCTGGGTGTCAGGCCCCCTCTGCCACCTGCACTGTGTGGCCTTCGGCAAAATGCTTTCCATCCCTGAGCCTTGGGTATATCACCCCTGATGGGGACAATAATATACAGGGTGTCCCAAAAACATGTATACACACTTTAACAGCTGAGAGCTCGCTTGATGTTTCTTTCTTCTCAGCCAGACTAAGCTCTGAACAAAGGAAATTCATCCTAAAATGCTACTGGAAGTTTGAAAATGCAGTTGAAGTACAAACACTGCCTTTATAATTATTCACACGGTGTACCAAAAAAATGTATACAGACTTTAACAACTGATAACTCATTTAATTTTCATTCCTTTTCAGATTTAACTGATTTGAAATAATGGG